GCATTTGCAAGTTGTATTGGATCAGAATCTGCATAATGTAAATCAATTAATAAACCTGTTTGTTGTGATAAATTAAGAAGAAGATCAAGAATAGGTAAAACATCTGAACAATCACTATCAGTTAACCAAAATATACGTAATCGATAGTTCTGAAATGAATTGTCTTTAATTTGTTGTTCATATTGTAATTGTAAATGCTGACAAATAGAATGAAAAATTTGTCCAATTTCATCATCACCAAGAAATATATCTGATCCAGTTTTTTCTCCACTAAGAATATCTTTTGAATGTAAACCATATTTATTTAATATTACTAAAAATGGTTTTAAACGAGGAAAACGTTCAATTAATTGAACAAGACGAAGTTGTGTTGAATGCCATGTTACTTGTTCACGTAAAGTTGAAGCAAGAGAACGACATGCATTTAATAATGGATGATGTTGTTGATTTAAATTAAGATCTTTAATTACCATTTGAGCATAATAAACAGCTAATTCATTCAATGGTTCTATTGATTCAATTAAATCTTGATTACTAATAGAATTAAGTTCATTATTAAGAATACTTTTGGGTGATGGAAGTAAATGTGATATATCTTTTGTTATTGGTGAATCGGTCCATACTCTTTTCATACAATAATCTTTTATAATTGTATCTAAATATGGTTTATGATCAATATCAGGTAAATCAGTTGTTAGATTTAATTTATCATAAATTATTTGTTCCATTGACCATCGACCAGAATGTGCACCTTGAACTTGTTGAATAACAGCACCTTCAAATGTAAATATTGGTTCTTCGATTTTATTATCCATTGGAAATGTCCATAAATCAAGACTATATGTTCTTTCTTGACCTATACCACATATATTATCATGATAGATTCCACGTGCTTCAATATTTGTTGATTGATTCATTTTTGTTTTTATTTTACTTGAATAAATAAATTTTAGAATCCGTACTGGAAGAAATGTTGTTTCAACACGTGGTAATATAACTAGATATGGATGCAGTAAATAACAAAAATGAGCAATCATTATTATCATCTGATAATTGAGATATAACTGTAGTTGAAATACCATTTACTGTTTTTATTTTTTCAAAACTGGATTCATATTGATCAGCACGTGTTGAAAGATGTATATAAGCACTTGTTATATCTTGTGTTGTCTATGTATTAGGTATTGTTAATGATTTTTGTTCTTTAAAATTTATTTCAATTTTACCTTGTGCATGTAAAGTAAATTGATTTAATAAATATTTATTAAGATTATCTTGATTACAAAATATAATATACCATTTACGCATTGGCATAATTATTTGTGTAAATACTTCAACTAATTCATGTTCATTAAGAATAAGTGCTTTAGTAAAATTAATATCTTCAAAAATAATTGTTGGTTGTTGTTGTTGATCATCTTCTTTTGATGAAAGTAATTGTTGAGAAGCAGTTGTTGCAAGTTCAAGATAAGCAACAGCTGGGAAAAGAATTGCATCTTGACTTTTATGATCTTTCAAAAAAGAATGTTGTGGTAGATTGATATTAATGAGACTTTTCCATGTTGCACTTGTTTGATCATTTAATTGACGAATACCAAGTAATGGATGAGTAGTTATACGATTAGCTAAACGTTGTATAGATGAATCTTTTGATTCATACCAACATGGACTCAAATGAAATTTATATAATGGAAAATTATCAAAATATTTCTCATGATTTTTCAACGGTAAAATTTGACGAGTATGAAAATATTGTTGCCATACATGAGATGATGTTGTAAGTAGTGTTAAACTAGTAAGTAATGTTATTTGTTCATTTTCTTTTCGTTTTAATGTTGGGAGAATAATTGGTGGTGACTGTTGTTGTTGATTTGTTAATTCATAACATTCACGAATAGATGTAGCTAAAACTGGATGTAGTAAAATTTCAATAAAAACATTTGTTGCTTCATCTTTTATAATTAATGTTATAGCATCATAAAATCGAACAGTTTGTCTTACATTTGACTATCAACTGACATATTATCATCAGTAACACTTGAATGAAGTTTTGCTTGTGCACATATTGGATTAAATATTTGTTTTTGATCTTTTATTGAATATCCACGAATATCTTTTAATGATAATAACATATCTTTTTTAATATCAGATCGATCCATTTGATATGATGAAATGCATTTTCAATACGAACACATGCTTTAAATACATTTGGATAAGAGATTGAAAGTATCTGATGTATTTTAGCACGACTTATTGTTACTAAACGAAGACTATTAACAACAGCAATGCAAGTCAAATGTTCAATATTTTTTACGAGTTTATTTTCTACCTCTTCTTCCCTCATTGAAACAGCTTCTTCTAAAGTTAATCGATCAGCAACAAAAGCAGCTGCTTGATCACCAGCACTATGTGATATTATAAATGAGGGATATATATTCCATGAAACAAGTAATGCTGCTAATGCAACTTGTATAGCAAATAATGTTGGTTGAGCAATATTTGTATCATTAATACGAGATTCTTGTTCATTTTTCTTTTCAATTAATTCTTTTAATAATCTCCATTCACCATTATTAATTTTTGTCATTTCTCCATCAATTAAATTAATCCATTTATTAAATAAAGGTTCACTTTCATATAATTGTCTACCCATAGCCCACCATTGTGGACCTTGTCCACTAAAAACAAAACATATTTTTTGTGCTAATGGTTTTGTTGGACGTGATATGATTGAAAGGTCTGGTGATGCTTGTTCAGTAAGAAAAGCATTGATTTGTTCTTGTAATTGTTGGCGATTAAGAAAAATAAAGATTGCTAAATGTTGATAACTAATAGTTCTTTTAAGATGAAGTTATTGAGATATACGTTGAAGAAAAGCTTGGTGATCATCATCATGTATATCATTAATTGATGATCAAGAGATTGATATGACTTTTTGCTGAATAAGAAGAAATAAATTATTTAATGAATGAAAAGAAAAAATAACTTACTTGAAAAAATAAAAAGAAAATATTGTTTGCTTTTAATATGATTTCCATCATCGATATGACCATTTTCAATTCATGTTTTATTTATTGGTTGATATTCTTCAATAATAGCATGTGTCGTTGAACCACCCGTTTCGAATGAATTAATACCAATAGCTATTTTTTCATTATTTGGAAGAGTTGGATATGGTATAAAATTTTGAAGAATATATAGATTATATTTTTGTGCATCTATTGTTGGATTAAGTGAAGTAAATTGCATATTTGCTGTAATACCACGATAATATATACACATAGCAACCTTAATAAGTGATGCAACACCAGCTGCATTTTCTATATGTTCGAAATTACTTTTAATTGAACCTAATAATAATGGTGGATCAAGATTTGATCGATTAAAGAATCGATCTAAACAATTAGCTTCAATTGGATCGCCATCACGTTCAGCATCACTTAATTGTTTTAATAATAAAACACCAAGACCATCATCTAGGCACAATATTTTAATTGAAATGTATTTCTAAATAAAAAAAACTAATCAACTGAATTCTTTACCTTTAGCATAACTATTAGTATCAGCACTAAATGATCGATTTCTTCCACCAGGTGATTGTGCACCAATAAATGAATGTTGTAGAAAACTTTCTGGCGTAAGAATTCATTACCACCACCACATACAGCCATCTCAGCTTCATTTGTACGGAGATATTGCACAGCCATATGTAAAGTTTCTCAAGATGATGAACAAGCAACATCTAATGATACATTTGGATCATGTAAATTAAAATGATATAATAAACTATTAGGTCCATAAAATCTTGATTCGATGTTCAGGTCTCATACGAGCTGCTGCAATTGCATGATCTGTTAAAAATTATCCAGTATGCACTGATGTTTTTGTACCTGACATTTTTCCAACACTATATTCAGCACCATCAAGTAAATCAACAAATTTTAATATAAGTGATCTATGACATGAATCAATATTGGCTGGTTCAGCATCTGACAAAACCAAAAGAAATTGGTTTAGATTTATCTCATTGTTGATTTGACATAAAATAACCATCACGAAGAAGTTTTTGATGAAGTTGTCCATTATTATTCTTGTTTAAATATTCATTTTCCGAATTAACATAATAAATTTTTATATCTAAAATAAATATTATTATATAAAATAAAATCTAAGATTAATTTAATTTTTAATTGAAAATATATATTTGACCTATACAAATATGATTATAATTTAATGATATTATGAGTTTTGTTTTGTTTTTTATTAGAAAATATGAAAAATTATTTTTATTATTTCTTAAATCAAATATAATTTATAAATCTCTTCACATTAAACTTCTATTGTTTTTTGTAAATTAGAAAAATTTATAGATGAATTTGTAATGTGATTCATATTTTTCATGCTATAGATAATGTTTGATTAGTAGTGTACAAGAACAAAAAGTCTTAAAAAATTTATAAATTTCGTAGATTTGTGAAATTGTCGGATAGCTATAGAAGTACCTACGAGAGTAATCTGGAATATGAAACTGTTTATAAGTTTTTAGATGATTATGATGCTGTTAAGTTTAATAAAAATTTCTATGATTTGTCAAAAGTAAAAAAAACGTAATAGAGCTGAATTGCTACATATATGTAATTTCTACTCTCAAAAATTATTTTATATTAACAATGCCTATTGATAGTAAATATATGTACAACATAAAGTAAATTGATACATAAACTAAGCTTTAATTAGATAATAAGAACTAAGGAATTAACTTATTTATTTAGTTAGCTGTTGAAATTATCTATTTTGTCTTAATTTTGAATAAGATGGTCTTCTATTCTATGAAGAAGTTTATATATATAACGAGTACACCATAATAAATGAGATACAAAAGTGAGCCATTTATTATGAGACATCCATTATATATACATATAGGCATACGAGCGTTTGAATATATACGATTTTTTAAAAGCAACTTTTTAGTCACGGTCATGGCCACTTGTACTCTCTATATTTTATCAAAAAAGGAGCATGACTATAATATCATATCGAGTCATAATTTTTTATTGACATATTTTTCAGGTAGTTTAATTCAAAGATTATTTTATATAAAAAAATTATATATATTTTGATTATGAAAATATTTTCTATATAATTTCTTAAAATTTTAATCTCACTTTTTTTAAATTAACCTTTCCGGGACCAACTTTTTTTTTAATCTTTTTAATGATCGGTGTATCATTTTATAACTATCTATCTTGATGGCAACCTCAGGAAAAAAAATTTTTGTGTTGAAAAAGCTGGGATCCCCCTAGGGATGGTGGTACATATTTACACCACCTACCCTGTGGGTTTTTCAAAAAAAAATTTTTTTTCTCTGAGGTTAGATAGTTATAAAATGATAGACCGATCATTAAAAAGATGAAAACAAAGTTGGTCCCGAAAGGGTTAAAGCTCATTATATTAAATATGGATATAGTGCTCAAGTTTAATCAACTCTTTTGATGTTCTTTCTCGCAATAATTTTAATTGCACTTTTATGAAAAATTTATTTCCTTAATTTTAATAAAAGTAAAATATTTATTTTTATTTCTTTCAAAATAATTTCATCAAAATTCTGCAAAACCTTAATCAAATTAAAATATTTACGAAAAGAAATTTTTTTAAAATTAATTATTAGAATAATTTTCTAATGTTAATCTATTGAAAATATAGATATTTTAAATTCTAAGTGATTTCTTTTGTATTGATATTCTATGTAATATATATATGTTGTAGTCAAAATTAAAATATTTTTTTTATAGGTCAGGTGCGGGAAATTCAAAATCACAGTGAAATTTTTTTTTCGTTTTTTTTGCACTTAGTTTAGTAGATGGGAGTTCAATGATTATAAAAAAAATATTCTTAAAATTTTAAAAATTCAAGATGGCGTAGTACGTCATTTTTTACAAAAAATTGATAAATTTTGTACATGATGCATATTTTATTTTTTTCAGGTTTCTTACTGCTTGAAACCAATTTTTTCGTAATCCTCATGGAAAACTGACTACAAAAAGTTATATTTAAATATAACTTTTTGTAGTCAGT